TAATTTTATTTATATTTGTCTAAAATTTCTTTCTTAAAACATTTAACTTACATGTAAATATTATTTAATTTTGTCTGACAGAGGTTTCTTATAATAATTATTCTCTAATCATTTAATTATACTATTCTTTTCATAAATTTTCTTTAATCACAACATTAAATAATTAGCAAATGCTAATCAATCTACCTAAAATTATTATTAAATTATATTTACTTTTGCAAAACTTTATTTAATAAATTCTTCTATATGATTTTTAAGTAAATATGTATTAAATATAAAGTATTTAACATTTTTGTATAGCTTCTGAGATTAAAAATTTAGTAATTTATTAATATCTAAAATTAAGAAACATATAATAAAATACCTAATTATATTTATTAAAGCTTAGAAGATAAAAAAGCTTGTTTTAGTTATAATAATATAATTTTTTATAAAAAGGTTTATATAATTGCTATATATCAGACTTAAAAGAAAACTCTTTTACTTTTATTAATATCCACTCTAATAGTAAAACATATTGTATAATGTCAAGTAAAGAATATATAAAAGGTATGTATAATATTTCTATTTAGCAATAAAATGAAATATTGTCAATTCTTAAAGATATTATAAAAAAGATGAATAATATTTATCACCTTGTAGACTTCTAATTTACTATACTAGTTTGAAACTTATTGGTTAAAGTCTTTCTCATTTTATAGTTTGTATATTTTCAAAATACAAAGAAAAGTTATGAAATAAGTGTTAGATAAAAAAATATAAATAATCTACTTCTGAAATATTATGTAAAAAATAGAGAAAGGAATTAATAGTCATGACTTTTATATTTCTCTGCAAACGTGAAAAGAAATAAGGATATTTGCATTTTATTAAAATAAATTATTGTTTTTGTAATTAAATTTTTATATACCAATGCTTTTCTTTTAATTTAATTTTTACATTTATTTTAACAAAAATTCCATTAAATTAAAATATTACTCAATGTCAAAAATTTTAGAAATTCTGATAGCTTTCTAATAGTTAGAATGCTTCTACCTTAACTTATTATTTGGATCAACAAGCTAGATTGATGAGTTTGTAGGTAATCCAGACACAAGTTTATGCTATATATTCTATTAGTTTCCACTGCTCCAAATTTGTATTTATTGTAATATTCATGCATTTACTCAAGATAAGTGTTAATAGTATTCTGCTTCACTTTATCACTCATTCTTTTTTTTCTATAAAAACAAACTCAAGTCTATTTTGAATATCTTTTTTCTCAAGCCCACATATGTGCTTATATATTGATTTAACTGTAATATCATATCAAATGTTAAATTTACTGGTGATATCATTTATTAAAAATAGTGGAACTCCTTTAGAAGCAAAGTATATACATAAAAAAAAATGATGATATTGTTAATATATAAATTTAATATCATGTAAATATTTTGCATTTATTGAACTCATGATCATACCAGTTATAAAAATACAGGATATTTTATCAGAACAATAATGCTTAACATTTTCAAAGACAGTTTTCAGAAGATTCTGCTTGTCATGAAGTCTTTGATAAGATAGTATATCTAATAGATTAAGAAACTTATTAGTGATTGCATCGTATTCATCAATCAAGAGGTAAATCTGAAATGCTAGTATAGTTATTATATAGAATGTTTTATATATTATTAATTAATTATTACCTTATATAGACAATATTTAACTTAATGAAAAAGCCTTTGAAGAGAATTAATACAGTTATCTTGATGAATAATTAAGCATTGAATTTCTTTATTTTTCATTCCCAGTATAGGTTTATAGTTATCACAAAACTATTTAATTGATGTATTAATATAATTGCTAAGATTTTTCACCATTTTTTCAATACTTATATACCTTATTAAACTATATATAAACTTGGTTAGGTAAATACAAAAGTAATCATTAAAAGGTATATTCAAAGATACCTTTCAATCGTAGAAAAATCCCATTCCAGGATGAGAAATTGGTTATGCTGCAGTTCAGAGGTATGCTGGTAAATTTCAAGCAAACTAAACAGCCTATTAAAATTCTGCATCTCATTGACATCGTAAAAATATTTAAGAGTAGCAAAAAAGGATCTAGATAAACTTAATAATGATATTTTAAGTATTGGATCTTTTACCTTATCAAATAAACGTATAAAGCTAAGTGAAGGAAAAAGTATTATTATTAATAATAAGATTATATTTAATGTTTTTTATCAAACAATAATGAATTAAATTTATAAAATAATAACAGAACAAGAAGTCGATCAAGAATTAACCACCAAAGTTTATGATGTTGAAATCGATGGTATCACAAATTATACTACAAAACAATCAATCTCTTTTACAGATAAACAAGACTTGGAATTTATGATCTCCATCAGTTCTATGGATTCTAATAGCCTGGCACTAATATTTGTCACGTTTATTCAAGCAATTAAACCAAGTATACTTTCTTCAAATATGATACATACGACATTTAAAAATTCTTAGAATATTATAGTTTCAGATGATATGACAATTAGTTCTACTACAATAACGCTTCAAATTAATTAAAGCCATAATCATGCTTTTAAGGTATTCTGAGCATCTTAATTTAGATACTAAAAATGATGTGAATGCTCAATAATCACTATATTTATAGAATCAACTTGCGGACTTATTTATTAATGAGTCAAAGATTCTGTTTTTTCATATACGTAAACCAACGCTGGAACTAATATTGGCATTAGTTAGAAAGTGTGTAAAATATCTCAAGGTTGACAATATTAATGCTAGTGATGCTAAGAAAAAGGGTTGTAGATGGTTCTCAACGTGAAGGGTGCAATTTTATGATAAATGTACTAATATGACCTTTGATTTTTTAGATTGTTACAAATAAGTAATATTATTATACAATATTTATTATTTATTATTAAAGTTTTGTTTTTCTTTCGATATACTAATTAAATGAGTATTTACATATAGTGTGGATTTGAACAATCTTTCAAAATCATCTTACCTTTACAATTTTGTGAGCGAGGATGATATTATCAATATCTTCGAACCACAACTAAAACAAGTCAAAAGAGACCATTTGTTTAAAAATTAAACGTCTTTGAATATGCTAAAAACTTACCTAGCAGAAGTCATATTAATTATGGTCTGTCACTTTATTCAGAAAAATGTTGATAAAACTATATATACTAGTGCTACAAAAACTAAACGAATGGAATGGCAAAATGCCATATTAATCAACTTGCATATGCTTGATTGTATTATAATTGATTTAGATATTATTTCTAAAAGTAGAATAACATTAACATAAGACATCAATATTCGTAGTTATATGAATTGGTAAAAATTGCATATATAAAATATTTTATTGCAATTTTATTATTCAATAATTGGTGGTATTTTATAATTATTGCAAAAGCATTTCGATTTGTATATTTTTAGTACTTCAGAAATAAAGGTTCTGTAATATTTATATAATAAATTTGTAAACTATTGCTAAATATATTATAAAACAATTTCAGCATTTACAAAACAATGTTACTTTTACATAAATATTATAAAAGTATTACAAAAGCATTAAAAAACATTTACAATAAATTGACTATTTTTAGTAAAGTATATACAATCCTATAATAATTATGTAAATAAATGATATTATAACAGGATTATCATAATTTAATTAATCTATATAATGCATTGTAAATAGTTATATAAATGACATAGTTAATATAATTAACTTAATAAATATATTTAATTTATGTAATTCAAGAAAGTATAGATTAAAATATCAAACATATCAAACATATTTAATATATTTGACATATCTGATATATTTGATATATCAGATATACCTAACATATATGATATATTAGATTTATATTAAAAAGTATATAAAGGAGACTAAATTCTTAACAAGAAAGTAACTATCAATTACTAGATGCAATCTGATCAGTTTAGTAATAACTATGTGTAACTTTCTTTATAAAAGTAATACAAAGTTACTTTTTTCTATTTATGATTAATTTTTCTTTTGTATTTCCTTATTTTAGTATTTTTAGCTTTTAGTTTATTTATTTATCAATAAATTTTTATTCGATTTACCTGAAACATTTTGTGATACTTTGTATTAGTAATGTAATTTATGTTTATTTTTATAGAAATATACTCAATATTATATTAAATATACTTAGTAGTATATAATGAATAAATTATACATTCATCGTAGATTTGAATATATTTTCTAATATATAACAAAACTTAATCAATCAAGATATAAATATATTCTAAATAGTATATAAAAGAAATATAAACTTATAGAGTCAACTATTAGATTACTATGTAAACTTAAAAGAATCATCACTCAAATACCCCATCTAACAGTAGCAATTTGACAGGATTGTATATTATATTTAGTGATAATAATAGGACCTTCTTTTCCTGTTTACATAGTAATATATAACTAGATTACTTGAATAGTATAAACACATTTTGAAGACTTTTAGCAATAATACATTTTGAAGACTTTTAGTATCAACACATTTGAAGACTTTTAGTATAAACACATTTTGAAGACTTTTAGCATCAATACATTTGAAGATTTTTAGTATAAACATATTTTGAAGACTTTTAGTATTAATACTCATATTAATAATTACATAAAAAGAGATTGTAATTTGAATAATTTTGTAAACAATGTATTGTAGAAGATATTATCAAGCTTAGCTTATTTTTAATAGACGAAATTTTTAGAAGACTAATCATATGATATCACAAATAATATGATATTAGTAGACAAGATAATATTTATTTAATAATTTAGAAAAAATAATAAAAGTGAAAGTGAAAGTATTAACAATATGATTTGCAGCTCTTAAAGTAATATTAAAAAAGTAATAAGTAAAAACACAACGATATGCAAAATTTTATTAAATAATTGAGAAATAAAAATTTTTAAAATACATCAAATAGAAAGAAAAAGAAAAAAAAGAAAAAGGAAAATAATCAATTTTAACAAATTTTCTGCATAAAACTGATTGAGTATATGATTGTAATTATTATTAGTTATTTAACTGATTAATTTAATGCTTAAATTCTTTCTTGATTTTGTGGATGACTATTCTTTTGAAGAATATGTAATTTTTCTTTATGTTGATTATATGCTTCTTTGAAATAATTAAATCTATTATCTTGATAATATAAATGAGAAAAAAGTTCAGTAAGTTTTATTTCTAAAAGATTACATTTTGCAGAAATTTCAGAAATTTGAGAAGATGAATTTGAAAGTTGTTCTCTTAAGCCTAAATTTTCTTAATGAATATAAGTTTCTTCTTAAACTTTTTAATGAGAACCTGTAGCCTAAATAAAGAAAGGATGCATATTAGAAATGTGAAGTTGGGCATCTTTGACCAGTGAGTACCAGTTCACTGAAAGGTTAGCTTAATAAACTCAATAATATTCTAAAAGGCTATATATTGATATAGAATAATAGAGGCTGTAATAACCAGTTCTAAGTAAGGAAAACTCATGTTATGAGAATCTATAGTATAGTAAAAAGGTAAAAAAAAATATGATGCAATCATATTAAATAAGATCAAATGTACTATCACAGTTCACATAAGTGATAAGTATATATATAATCATATATTTTAGTTAGATCAGTGAGAAAATACATTTTCTATCATTTTCAATTTAGAATTATTCTTAAGTACATCTAGGCTTACTTTAAAAAATTCTTTCACTTTTGCATTTTCTTTGATGATGTAATGCTTTATATTTATTAGAAGGAGATCTTTTCTTATTAACATGTGTCATATTAAGAAAAAGAAAGGTTTAAAATTTTGCAATAATTTTGGAAAGAAGAGAAAAATTTTGTGAAAAATAGAAAAAATCTTAGGTAAGATTTTTATAATTAAAAGAGTGATTATGAAAAATTCTAAAAATTCTCAAGATCATGAGATTTTTTTGCAGAAAAATAAACAAAAATCTATTGGATTATATTGGATAATGATCATTATATGAAAATCTATGAAATAAAAATCTGTTTAAAATTAGTGTAGTTGATCAATATTACTAAAATTAAATGATTATACAATATTTGCATAGCATATTTTTGATTAACATTTCTTTTTTTAATACAAATTCAGAAAATTTTCGTAAGCTGCATAATTTTAAGAGTTTAACAAAATACATGTATGAGAATCAGAAAATATAAAAATGTTAGTTTTTCTAAAAGAAAATTATTTATAATAATTATGTATTTTATGTATTAAGAAATAGTTTAACAATATAATCAGTTGATTAGAAGATAATTTTAGATTATACTTAGCAACTCTCTCGTAATAAATTACTTAATTATTAGATTTTTATAAACTTATCTGATATGAAGAATAATTAACATATCATAAATGAAGATCATTTTATATGATAGAATTTATGATTAAATGTTAATATAAATTATGTGAATATAGCAGGATATTTGTGAAGATTTTTTTTTATTATTTATTTATTTATTTATTTTTATTTTTATTTTTTTATTATTTTAATTTTATTTTATTTATTTTATTAACTTATTAAAACAAATTGAATTAATTAGAATTTTTATGAGAACAAAAATCTTAAGAAGAAAGTAATATAACAGAACTATTATAACTTAATTAATCTATATAATGTATTGTAAATAGTTATATAAGTAACATAGTTAATATAATCAACTTAATAGATGTATTTAATTTATGTAATGCAAGAAAGTGTAGATTAAAATGTCAAACATATCAAACATATTTAATATATTTGACATATCTGATATATTTGATATATCAGACATATCTAATATACTGTATATATTATATTAGATTTATATTAAAAAGTATATAAAGGAGACTAAATTCTTGACAAGAAAGTAATTATCAATTGCTAGATATAATCTGATCAGTTCAGTGATGATTATGTGTAATCTTCTTTTATAAAAGTAATGTAAAGTAACTCTTTTTTATTCGTGATTAATTCTTTTTTTGTATTTTCTTATTTTAGTATTTTTAGCTTTTAGTTTATTTATTTATCAATAAATCTTTA